TTTGTCAGTTTGTATCTGGAAGTCCCACAGGATCTTAGCTTGGTCATTCTCAACCACTTTTGGAGGTGGATCCCATTTTGACTTTGGGACTTCCAGCCTGTAATCAGCACAGATGTTTCTGTACACTATGCCAGCCACTTGGTTATGGTGTTGCATGTATGCCCTGCCTGCTAGCATCTTGCACCCTGCTGTTATGTGCTGGATTGTCTCAGGGGCATCTTTGCACAACCTGCACCTGAGGTCCTGCCTGGTATGGTAGACCCCAGCCTCTATTAATCTTGTACTTAGAGCCTGTTCCTGTTCTGCCAAGATTAGTGCCTCTGTGCTGTCTTTCAGTCCAGCTTTGTCCAGCCACTGGTAGGATTTTTCGATATCAGCCACTTCTACTATTTGACGGTGGTAAATACCATGCAGAGGTTTGTCCTTCCATGAGGGTTCCTGCTCTTCCTTCCCTTGTTCCTCTGGTTTCTGCTGCCTGAGGTATTCACTAAGTACGTCATCACTCAGGGCCATCTTCCTGATGTAGTCGTGGATCTTTGTTGTTTCATCCTGGATAGTGGCTCTGACGCTCACTAATCCTTGGCCTCCTTCCTTCCGCTTAGTGTACAGTCTCAGGATGCTGGACTTGGGGTGAAACCCACCGTGCATTGCAAGGAGCTTTGTCTTGATGTCAGTGGCCTCTATCTCCTCCTTTGGCCAGCTTATTATGCCAGTGGGGTACCTAGATATTAATCGCCCGGACTTTGTTCTTTCCATTCAGCTGATTTTCCTTACTCTCTGCAGGTACATGGTGGTTGCTGCTTTCCTTGCGGCCTCTTCATGGTTCCCATTTGCCTGCAGGATCCCAAGGTACTTGTAGCTGCTCTCAATATCTGCTATGTTGCGTTGCAAGTCCTGAAGAAATCTCTATTCTGTGGTGTGGATCAGTGAGTCGATGTCTGGTTGACTTCTGGCATACAGCTTGATGTCATCCATGTAGAGGTGGTGGCTGATGGCTGCTCCATTCCGTAGTCGGGATCCATAAACGCTCTTGGTG